TTTAGCTGTAGCTGATCTACGGGCTGTTAAAAGAAACAATCTAGGGCGTTTGTGCGGGTCAAAGGTCAGAACATGAGCTTAAACGTGATGGAAAGAAATCTGACAGATTAAAGTTAAAGTCCTGCAATCCGAAGAGATAAGAGATGAGAGTAGAGTAAAAAAGCTGATAAAATTATTAAAAAATAAAGCGAAATTGAAATAAACTCCAACCATTTAAAATTAAAGCTAATTTAAAATATTATTAAATACTATAATAGTAGATAAATAATAGTGAAATAACACAGACAAGATGAGAGTCAAGACGGAAAAAGATGATTCGTGAACAGATGAGAAGAGAGCTATGTCGAGACAAAAGGAGAACTGAAGAGATGAAGTGAGATTATAGATGATAAAATAATGAGACATGAAGAGATGAGAGAAGAAAAGTAGAAGAAACAAATCAAAACAGAAGAGAAGATATGAGACGTGAAAAGATATGAGATGAAAAGAGATGAAGGGATGAGACGACAGGGAAAAAAGAAGAAAAATCAAAACAGAAGAGAAGGGAAGAGAAGATGAGAACAACGTGAGAAGAGATGAGACTAGATGAAACAAGAAGAGACGAGACAAGATGAGATGAGACGAGACATACAGAGATGACAATACGTAAAGAAAGAAATAAAAGCAGAAGAGCAATACGAGACGAGAAGAGATGAGACAAAGAGATGAGGTGACATGAAGAGATGGCAGAAGAAAAGAAGTAAAGAAACAAATCAAAACAGAAGAAAAGATACAAGATGAGAAGCTATGAGACAAGAAGAGACAACAAAAGATGAGAAAAAACGAGACGTAACATGAAAAGATGATAGAAGAGATGAAGAAACAAATCAAGAGAAGAGAAGAAAAATGGAAGAGAATATACAAGACGAGACGAGACAAGATGAGACAATAAAAGATGAGATGTGACATGAAGAGATGGAAGTGAAAAAACAAATAGAGAAGATACGAGACGAGAAGCTAAAAGATGAGAAGAGAAAACAAAAGATGAGATGTGAAGCGATGAGGTGAGGTGATACACTGTAAAAAATGACCGTGAATTTAACGGTAAAAGACTGTAAAAATGCTACAGTAAAAACCTGTTAAATGATTAACGGTAAATTCCCCTACTATATACGGTGAAAAACTGTATTGGACATTAATTTTACGGTAGTATACCGTTTTTGGAAGTGAACAAAAAACAACGTATAATTTACAGTGAATAACCGTAAATTGACATTCCCAGAATTCCCTGCGTTGCATTACAAATTTGATGTTTTTTGTTGAAATAACTGTTTCTTCTTAGTTTTTTCTTATCAGTTTTGTATATTAGGGTTGTGAGTTACACCTGATGTTATTAAATTAATTAAACATTCACTGCATTATTTCAGTTTCACGTGTGTTACCATGATGGTGTTTAGTGTTTGTGTGAATGACACTGTGCACCTTCTGTATATGTTACTATTTAAAAGCTGCTTGTGATGGGCTTTGGTGACCTGCATTTGGTGGTTATCAGTGTATTACAAAGGTACAAAACAGATTTCAGTACTTCAATAGGTTGGTATATTAATATTATATCAGTTAAATTTAAGTTAAAACCGTAAAACGTTGCTACTGTATTTGTTACGGTAAAATTCCGGCAACCACAGCTGCTGTTTTTTTACCGTAAATTTTATGGAATTTTTTTTACAGTGTACAAGAACAGATGAAAGAAAAGAAGTTAAGAACAGAGCCAAGAGAAGAGCCTGACCGGTGTTGCCACCTTTGACCTCTGACCTCCGAGAGGCTGCAGCGCTCTTCTCTGTCATTCTGAGTCCTGAGCGAACGCGCGGAGCCGGTTTGAGACCGAGCCTAAGCGTGGTGCGTCTGCGCTGTCACGTTTGTAAAATGATCATGTAATTGTAAAGAGGTTACGCAGAGCTAACGTGATTGTGTGTTTGCAGACTGAGGATGCATTTGAGAGCTGAATTCTGCGCTCGCCGAGGAGTTCTCCATCTCTGTCACGATCAGACGGACGACTCATCCGTCCTGGGAAATATTAGACTTCCAAACGCACTCGCACAGCATATAGTTAAAGAAAAAAGCAAGCTTTCACAACACAAATGAAAACACACACACAACGGCTCTGCTCCACCCACTTCCTGTAACCGTAATCAAACATCATGACATCCGAGGTGGGGGTGGATTCACTCTGACCTTTGACCTCTCCAGCTCCTAATATGACAGTGAGCTGCTTTTGGGACTGAGTGCATCTCCCACACACCCACGTTTCTCTTTTACTACTAAATCTTGCACTACAACACAGACATCGAGAGATGAAATGGAAGCGTTTGTCGAAACTGACATATGCAGGGATAAACAGCCATACGAAACAAATTTTTGAATCATTATTTTCCTGTAAATCTGCTTTTAAACAATCTGTATTGTATAAAGTGCTATATAAATAATGGTGACTTGACTTGAATTATATTAAAATAGTGTTGGAAAGTAACAATAAGATGGGGAAAAAATGTCACCAAAATAAACAAAAATGCCCCACTAATTCACGATAAGTGGGCAAGACATGGCCCTGCACAAACTAAATCTATTACAGCTGTAGCGGTTAAAAGGAAATGGGAATATTATTGAAAAGTGTCAATTCACATCATTACATTTAGATTTGGTCATGTTGCATCTGAGTTTTTTGCAGCATTGAGCATCACTTGTGTTATTTTAGTATTATTTATACCGTTTTTATTAATATTTTGAATTAGATTTGTTTGTTTTCATTTGTTATGTGTTTATGTCATTTTTGTTAGTATTACACCATTATTATTAGTTTTATTAGTATTTTTGTTCTTTTTAAATATGATCTAATATGTTCAATTTGTTTTGTTTTTTTATTTTATTCAGCAAGTTTAGTGCTAAAACGTCAGTTTCTAATTTTTCATCTAATATTTGTATCTTATTTTATTTCAGCTTTATTTCAATGAACAAAACTGTTTTTTAATAGTTCTGTTGAATCACTGAAGCGGTGTTTACACAACCATTTTTTACGCGTTTTGGCCGTTTATTTATACGACAATGGAATCGTGGGAGGCTGAAAATGTGAACGTTTGAAAACAGACTTCAAAGTGCACGTTTTTGAAAACAATACCGTTATTGTTTATTGTAAACTACGAAAACACAAATTTGTGAAAATGGTGACATCACAAGCATGTGTCGCCAACTACTGGCCAAGCATGTATAATGCAGCGTTTTTTGTCGTTTTCGCAGATTGTCGTCTGTATGTGAAACCTTTCAAAAGCACAATCGAAAAACTAATTCTGTTTTGTCCGTGCAGTACAAATGACATGCCGTTTCCCCAAAAACACAAACATTAACATTTTCAATCAATCTGAGATCAATCAATACACATACCAACCTGACATGCAGACACAATAAAGACGTGTATAAAGTCACAGTTCTCATGCACGTCAGTACGGTTTAGCTGGTTAAGGAGGATTAACAGGAAACACTTTCATCACATTAAGGTGAGACACTGTTTATCTCTCCATCGATCCTATCTCTATCCAAACATCCTTCTATCCAGTGTGAAAACCTACAATAATGAGCCAGTTTAGTTCTGTAATTCACAATGAAAGATACCTGTAGGCTGGAGCCTGAGTTTATCGTTGTGAATTGATGCGATCTCTACATGCATTTGCACTGAATCATATAAATCTGAACAAAACCGAAGCATTTTGTAAAGCCATGCTATCTTGCACACACACACACACACACACACACGTCTGTAAAGCAATCACTGTTTCTAGCACTACTGAAAGGCAGCGTCTCTGCTGAAGTCCAGTCGGCTCTCTGCATCCAGTCAATAGCACAGACATGCTTGACGATTTATCATTTTCTACTCTCATTTTTCACTTATTGACATTGTTTTTCCATTTATTCTGCAGAATTAAATCAGGCGAACCGTCCGAGTTGAGAGCTGCCTGCGTCACAGACAGTCTTACTAAAATCCTGCGTCTTTACAGATTAATAAAGACCAGTTTTGAGCATATTGTATGCATCTCAATCTAATTTATATCCTAATCTAGTTGTCTAATAAACCTGGCATGGTATATTACAAATATTGTTGGCTTTTTGATGAACTGCTTTTGTTTCTCTTTTGTAAATTGCTTTGGATTAAAGCATCTGATAAATTCATAATATATAATATATATAATAGCCAAATAAATTCTGTTTATAGAAATCCTGCAATTTTATATTACAAAAATGACACCAGATATAATCTATTATTCAATAAGAGTGTTACTATCATTAACTAAAAAAAAACGAATCAATTTAAAAATTAAAAATAAAACCATTAAAACACTTTCATCACCTGAAATAAAATAAATATTAACTGAAAAAATACAATAAAATTACTTATTTAATTTCATAATTTTTAATTTAATTTGATAACTAAAATTAAAACTGAAATAAGAAGGCTTTCAACAAAAAGCTGGAGTGAAAACATAACTATATCATTAAATATAAAATTATGTGTTGAGTGTTGATTATTAATTCACTAAAATGTTTTTGTCTAAATTAAAACTAAATTAATTTTGGTTTCGGTAAATTTCAATGCATCACTAGTTCTAAATAGTGATATTTTGGTACCACTACATACATACATGCATATATATATATATGTAGGATTCATTTTTATTTTTTAATTTTCTGTTTTAATGTTTAAAAATGTTTACACATTTTTTGTGTGTTTCTGTCATTTCTGTTTTTTTTTTATAAATATGTTTATATAGTTTTCATTCATTTTTACATTTCAATTTGAGTTATTTTAGTAAATCATGCTAAACAAAATTTTATTTTCAAGTAATTCTTTTTTTATTTGCCCTTTAGTTTACTATAACAACCCTGGTTCCGTAGACATTAGAAAAACACCTGAACAGAGAAAGGAGACTGAAATGAAACTCAGGAATTTGGTACTGCGGGAAAAACATCCATACCTGCAGTGATGTCATCATCCGTCACGTCTATCTCTTCCTCTGGAGCTTTGGTCTCGGTGGGCGGGGCTTCTACAGGGGGCGGGGCCGGCTGGGCGGTCTCGGGGGCGGTTCCCGCTGCAAACAAACCAATCACAGAGTGAAAATTCAGTTGTTGCCGCGGCGACTAAACGGCATTTTTCTTGTCGCCTCTTTTCCGCAAACCTCGTTAAAAAGCTCATCAGGGTTTATTGGTGCTTTGCATTATCGAGGCTTTATTAAGCTTTAGCACCTGATTACCGCCATTTCCATTCCACGCCTTCATTCGGTGCTTATCCTGAAATTACCAATTAAAATAAGCTTTTCATTAAAGAGGCTGCAAATGAATCAATGCTGCTTAAAGGTGAGAATGAGCTAATCTAGACGGTGTGCTAATTAATGAGACCCCCAGACCCCCGCCAACCCTCGGCGGAGAGAGAAACCGGACTGAGCTTTAAACTCTGTCAGACTGATCACGATCTGATTGACAGAACAGAGAGAAAAACACACGCAAGAGCAGAAAAACAAACCCGCTCTGACAGGCCAATGCAATGAGAGATATTTGCATTAACACAGTCCAAAAAAAAAAAAAGCTACTACATTTTTATTAATTGAAAAGCAAAATAAAAAATCAATAAAACAAAATCAAAATAATAAATAAAATACATTCTCATTATTGCAATGTGAATTTTTTTTTACCTAAATTGAAAGTATTTATACTTAATTTACCTTAATTTGAGCTGATTTAATGAAAATGTCGTATTACAGTAAAGAGAATATGAGAATCACCACATCATTTTTAAGTTTATTATTATTCATTTTAATGGACAAGTGTGTAACTAATATTCGATGAAAAAGTGAAACTGAAATAAAATAAGTTGAGGTTAAGTTAATAAAACTAATACTACAAGCTAAATATAAAAATTAAAAAGCTGTACAAAATTACTACTAAAATGACTAAAAACTCAAATAAAACTAATTTACCATTATTATCATTATTTTAATTTTAGTCAATGATTTAGTAATTTTGTTGTGTTTGTATTTAGTTATTATTTTTATTTTTGAATTTACTGTTTTTATTATTTTATTTAGTTAAATAAAATTTAATAATTATTATATATACATTTAATATAATTATATATACATACACACACACACACATTAATTAATTAATTTATTTATTTTTGTTTTTATGGTTTTAGTTTTAGTTAACTATAATAACCCTGGGACAAACAGGTGCAAGATCAGACTCCCAAGTAAATTAAGTCTAATATTAAAAATGAATTCTAAGGGAGCATCTCAATCACATTGCGTTTTCTTAACAGAAAAGGCAATCCCACAATGCATAGCAACCATATCCGAGAATAAAATCCACCCAATTTGACAAACAAGCACTTTTAAATAGAAATTCCATTTGATCATACAAGTAACATTTAAAATCGTTACAGTTAAACATATTTGGAACACATTTGCAACATCAGATGTTCCAAATCACTCACTTATGAGGTTCCAATTTCAAAGGTAGTAAATAAAAGATGGCTTATTAGCGTCTGGTAAAACACCACCCCATCTGAATATTATAGTGAATTCATGACCTGAACATTAATTATAGGAAGTCACCACCACAGTGTTTGATTTGTTAAGCGTGATAATGTGAGCCAGACGGTTCACGAGTGTTCGGTTTTGATGGCTTGAGCTGTGATTGTGAGTTTTGTGTGTCTTCAGTGAGGCATATAAACACAAGACGACTTCACAGCGTGATATCAACACACACACACACACACACACACACACACACACACACGCAGAGCAGCTCATAATTCAGAGATGCTGTGTCGGTTGGGTGAGATCGGCCTCCAGCAAGGTCAAACGGCCGTGTCAAGCATGACACACTGCTTCCAGCCGGCCTTGTTAACCCCATCCATCCATCCTCCCTCTGCCTCCACCCTTTGTGTGCTCACAGGGGACCGCTCTCAGATTCAACACAGCTTCTCAGCACGACCTGACTGTGATTTCATTCACACGCCACACACCGACCACATTATGACGACCAGCGTGTCAACATTACAGGAACAAAAGGACACCGAAAACACAAAGGAGTGAGAGACCGGTTTCTCTCTTTATCCGAGACAATACATGATTCAAGCTTGTGCTGGAATGCTTTCTGAGCCTCTTTAAAAGGTTCATCATTCATTTCAGATCATAAAAACAAATTTGGTTTTCAAATGTAACTAAAGATTAAAAATAAACAAAAAAAATCAAAACAAGTATCCAAAAAGCAACCATTTAAAATGCTTCATTTTATCATAAATATATGCACTGTGAATTTTTATGCTTATTAGAGTATTGTATTTGCACACTTAAATTATATACTAGAGAATGCAGAACTAAAAATATAAAATGCAAAAAAAATAAATGTAATAAAACAAAACAAAATAACACAAAAACTTCCACGCAAAGCAAATTTTAATAAATCTTCACACCAGGATTATTACTGTTAACTAAAACTAACATTTCATTAGCTGAAATAAATGTTAACTGAAATAAAACATAAATAAAAAACTATTTTATTTCAGCTAGTTGCCAAGGCAACATTTCTCATTTTCAAGTTGAAGTACTAAAATAATAATAATAATCAAAATAATAATGTTTAATAATTTGAATAATAATAAAAGTATAGTAAAAAAAAAATAATTATAATATTTAATAATAATAAAAATAGTAAAACCGATATAATCCTAATTGAAAATAAATTACAACAAAAAATTTTTTTATAAAACAATGTAATATAAAACTGAAATAGTAATAAAAAAAATTATATACACATTAAAAATATATTTTTTATTTTATTTTATATTTTAACAAAATTATTAAAACTTCAACTAAAATCAAAGTGAAAACAGAATATATAACGAATTCTAAATATATAAAAATAGTAAAACCGATATAAACCTAATTGAAAATAAATTACAACAAAAAAAAAAATTTATAAAACAATGTAATTTAAAACTGAAATAGTAATAAAAAAAATTATATACACATTAAAAATATATTTTTTATTTTATTTTATATTTTAACAAAATTATTAAAACTTCAACTAAAATCAAAATGAAAACAGAATATATAACGAATTCTAAATATATATAAGATTTATTATATTATGTAATAGTACATAGATATATTGCCATATAATGAAAAGGAATGGTGACTAGATCGGTCAAGCTTCAAAAAAGACAAAAATAAAACCGGTCCTAATCATTATATTCCAAACCTTATGAGGTCATATGACAGCTTTATCTGAGGAATATCCTGCAATTTTAGTTGCAGATCTCAAATCTCATTCGTTCTTGCACATACAGGATTCACACTTAATATATCATACATCAATCCAGATTCACTGCCAGTAACACCAAAAGGCATTAGTTTATCATCTCGTAAATGATCATAATGCATTATGCATTAAGAATTACTGCATTAAGAATGAGCATAATGCAGCGATGCATTAAGAATAAGAATGTTTTGTGTTTTTACAGTCTGAGGCCAGAGACTGAACTCTTCTGAAGGGAACTGACAGCTCGTCACGGATGCTGTCGATAGAGCTTAAGTTGTAAATAACCCAGAATATTCCTTGAAGATAAACGGCTGGTCTGGAGGGTTTTTAGCGTGAGTGTGTGTGTGTGTGGATGGCGTTCAGCCTCAGGGTGTGTGTGCGCGAGCTGTGTGGGATTATAGAGGCACATCCGCAGGCCGGAGCGCTCTCTCACGGAAGAACCGCCCGAGGCCTGGTTTAATCACCCGCTCATCCGTCCCTCCCACCGCTCATCACCCCAGGGGATGCTGGGAAGGGTAAATCCCAGCCCTCAACATCCTAACAGGGGAGCCAAGCTTGAGGAGCGAAGGTGAGGGAGAGAAAGAGGAGGCGTGTGAATGAATAGATAGAACAAGCCAAGGAAGGAACAAATAAAATAAACTACAATAAAAAATAAAATAATAAAATAAAGAGTAAAATAAACACAATTCAAAATAAATTCAAAGAAATATTCAAAGAAACGAAAAAATTAATAAAATAAAAAAAATTAAATAAATGACAATGAAAAGGAAAATAAATAAATAAATAAATAGTACAATAAAAAAATCCTATCAAAATGAAATGGATTGAAAGACACATTCAAAGAAGAATTAAACAAATATAATATAATAGTTAAAGTCTAAAAGAAATAAGAAAAGAAAAAGGTAAAAGAAAAAGAAAACACAAAAAAAAACAAAGGAAGAAAACAGCACAAATAAAACAAAAGAAAAATAAAGAGAAAAATAAATATTAAAAACTTAAAATAAAATAAAAACACAACATGCAATACAATAAAATAAAATGTTACGATATAAAATGAATAAGAAATAAAAATAAAAACTAATAAAATAAAAACTTAAAATATAATAGAAATACAAGAAAATAAAGAAAAAGTAAAAGAATACAAAAGAAAAATCAAGAAATAAAATAAACAACCAAAGGAAGAGGACAGCAAAAATAAAAAAAGGAAAAATTAAATAAAATATTTTTTAAATAAAATATCCAATAAAATAATATAATAATTAAAAATACATAAAATAAAAAAAAGTTAAACAACAAATAAAGAAAAACTAAAATAAATAAATAAATCAATGAATTTTACAAAATCAAATATTAATGATTGTGATGTCAAAGGTTTCGGAATAATTTCTGCAACAAGAACTCCTAAAAGTTACAAGTGATGGAGGGAGGGTGAGAGAACGCAAAAGATGAGGAAAAAAAGACAGCAGTCATTCATTCATTCAGATGATCAAGGAGACAACAGCTGCCTGAGCGAGCGTTTCTGTCTGTGTGTGTGTGTGTGTGTGTGAAGTTCATGGAGGTCTGCTTAATGAAGTGACGGGTGAATAGAGCCCAGAACAGAGGATCACACACACACACACACACAAACACACACAGTCATGCATGAAGTCTAGTCCCCTCTTTAGCCTGGAAACTAAAATGAAAACAATAACAAAAAAAAATACAGTAAAAACAGCAAAATTGTGAAATATTATTACAATTTTAAAGACCTCTTTTCTATGTGAATATC